TCTCCTTGCCCTCTGTGTATGGGGGCCAGGTTGTGAACCAAGAGTGTTCCGGGCCCTCTGAAATTATGTTAGATATACACATTCTATTTCTATAGTTGCTCTGTGTTAGGTTTTTGAGGGAGAGGAGAGTCTTAGACAATTTTAGACACTGGCGAGAGAGTTTCAGTCTGTTTGGCTGTTCCAGAGGTGCTGAACCTGACATTGTAGGACTGTTGCTCAGGATCAGAGGAAGTGGGGTGAGTGGGGACCACTGGAATCCCTGAAGAACCAGCTGGAACATGACTCTGTCTGTCACTGAAACCCACGTTGGCCTCTTCCCATCTCTAAACCTCCAACTTCATGGCCGTGGATGCCCTGCTGTGGAGACACACTCACTTCTGGACCAGGATTTGGGAAGCTGAACAAAGCAGTCCCACAGGGACTGGAGCTTTGGGCCCAGTCCATGCAGTGAGCCAGCAGATCTGTGAAAATCTGTAGGAGTAGCAAGGAAGCCTGAGCCACATGGACCTTCCAAGGACCACTATGGCTCCTGATGCATTCTCACTTTCCAACTCTTGCACTAACTGCACTTGCGGCCCATCCTAACCAGGGACATACAAAGAAAGGAATTCTGGGACATATGGTCAGCTTACCCACATTGACACATAAAGCCACCACATGGGACGGTACCTGATTATTGCTACAAGCCACTAAGATTTGGGCTTTGACTTTTACTATAGCATAATTGTGATACAATGTCTGGCCTCCGTCTCCTTCTAAGACTAAGATCATTAGTCTTTCCAGGCGTTGGCCCATATATATCTTCTTCTGGCCCCCATAAAGTTCTGTGCTATGTGGCAAAGAGCCCAGCCAGACTTAGAAGGTGTCAAATCCTATTCATTCATTATTAAGTGCCTACTGTGCACCAGACACAATGCCAAACATAGAAACCGCAATGCCAAACTAGAAAATCATGGTTCCTATTCTCCCAAAGCTCACAGTATAGCATGAGAGATAAATATCAATAAAAACCTGGTTCATTTACCGCAACTGTGATACATGTTCCAAAGGAAAAGTACAGTCAGCTGTGAGACCTAGAACCTGATCTGGGAGGTCAGAGAGGCTGCTCAGAGAAAGAACTATTTGCACCTAAAAGATGAACAGGAGAGACAGAGGCTGGAGAAGGAGATGGCAAGGGGCAAAGGAAATAGCGTGTTCAAAAAGCTTGAGGTAGAACCAAGCTCGAGAACCTGAAAAAATAGTCACAGTGGTTGAATTCTACAAAGATGGGGTGTGGTGAGGAAAGGGAAAGGCTGGAAAATAGGTAGGACTGGACCCCACAGGACCTTGTAGGTATTACAAGAGATTTTGAACTTGATCTGAGAGAGGGGCAAAGGCAAGCCACTGAAGGATTTAATCGGAGGAGCAACATAATCAGATATTTACACAGAGGGATCATTCTGGCTGTGGCTTGGAGAATATATTGGAGAGACGCCGGTGACAGAAAGCTGGTACCAAAGTCCAGACAAGAGACAGTGGCCTCTGGAGCTCCAGAGCTGACAGTGGAGATGGAGAGAGTGTCTTATTCAGAGGCTACAGAGGGGATAGTGTCGAGTCCTCCTAGTTTCCTGACCCGAGCAGTAGAATGGAAGGTGATGCCATTTAATGGAACACAGAATACCAGAGGCGGGTGAAGCTTAGGTAGGAAGGGAGATCGTGAGTACTTGAAGGATTTAAATAAGGATGCAGGTGTGTTTATTTATTGTTTATAGTATTTTTAAATTAATTCATCACACGCACCAAGTTATATTAGCGTTGCCCAAAATGCATTCACTAGCATCCTGCCCATCATAAAACGGTCCATGAACCAGCAGCGTTTTCACCTGGAGCTGGTTAAAAATGCAGAGTCTCTATTGCTACCTCAGGTATTATGCTGTTCAGTAGATCTCTAGGACTTATTCATCTTTCATAACTGAAACTTTGTATCCTTTGACCAACACTCCCCTGTTTCCCCTTCCTCCCAGCCCCTGGCAACCACCATCCTACTTGCAAGCTCACAGTGGTTGTTGGCTGCATTCTTGGCTTATGGACTCAGGACCACAGTTCCTCACTGGATTTTGAGACAACTTCCAGATCCTTGCCGCATGTGCTTCTCCAACATGGCAGCTTGCTCCATCCAAGTGTGTAAGCCCAGAAGGTTACAGAGAGCCCAGCAAGACAGATGCTGCCGTCTTTTGTGACCTAATCATAGTAGTGGCAACCCATCACCTTTAGTCTTATTCTGTTTAGGAGAAGCAAATTATTAGCTTCAGCCCACACTCAAGGGGAGGGAATTCCGTAAGGATCTTTGAGGGCCATCTTTAAAAACTGCCTACCACAGACTAGATGGGTTCGCCTCCTAACAGCTTCCCTTGCCTGGGGGTGCTCTACAGAGGACCCTCCCTGCCTTTGGACATAACCTCAGGGGGAAAGGAAACCCCAAGAAAGAATGAGATTAACTTCTCTGCCAGCCTGATGACTGGTGCCTCAGAAGGGAAGTTGATTTACAGAAAACAAATAAGGAATCCATCTTGCACATCTGAGCTAAGGACTCCGTTCTCATTATTTTTATCTCATTTAATATGCCAAGCCATTAAATTTATAATTGAGAAAGTTACAACTCAAAGAGGTTAAGTCATAAATCTGAGGTCACAGCTAGTATGGCAGACAGGGTTTGAATCTCAGTCTGTGTGACTCTCCATTACCCAATGCATCTCAGTGTTGCTGGAATGTCTATTTCTTTTATCACTGACAATAGCAGAGATTTGTAGGGACTCAAAAGTAGCATCCAGCTCTTTAGCTCTACAAACATATAAATATAAAATTTTGAATGCCACTCACAGAGATTCTTGGAAAGTCCAACCTTTGGTGGCACTGCAGACATTTTCAGAAGATCAAGCTCTGGTATTTGATAGTATTCTCAATTTAATAGCATCAGTGCATGATCACCAGTAATGATTTGGACAAAGCACTACTATGTACTACACTCATACTGAAAATAGCCAGAAGATGATAAGCAAGGTGCTGCTTCTCTGAAAGTTTTCCTTATGTTCTCACAGCTGGGATGACGAGTTAGCTCAGAAGAGCAACCCTCGAGTGACTGTGATGTATCCAGCGGGTCTGATTCACCCCCCACTGCTGGTCCAGGAGACAGCTTTCATCTTCACCATGTTCCTCAGCATGAATGCCACTGACATGAGCCCCACAGGAAGTATGACCTCATTCTGCCTCTCAGCAGAACGGTTACTCAGGCTGTTTTTAAAAGAAAACAAGAGCAGTTGTAGGCTGCCTTTCCCAAGAACTACAAGCTCTTTTATTCTAGGAAACAGCCAAAGGAACAAGAGGCTGCCGAAGACAAAATTTCTCTGCAACGGCCCGCACAGGGCAATGTGTGCAGCCATCTTTTAGGAGGAGGACAAGGTGGGATTTTCCTTTCTTAACAGACACCTGCACCTGTTGATATGCTGACGCTATTTTCAGCCGAAGAACTGCTAAGTCCTGGATTTCTCCGCTCTCAACCACAGGAAACTTCATATTTCAGTAATTTTTTGTTGTTGTTATTTATCAATAGGAAGAAGGGACTGGGAACTTTCTTTGGAAGGAATACGTATGGGCAGATTATTTTTCAGTACAGATGAGTTGCTTTGATGGAACTGGTAGATGCGATCTGTTTCTTGAAAAGTCTTAGAGCTGCAACTGAAGTCTTTTTCAGTGTTACTAATACTTGATTAACTATTAGTTAACTGTAGCCTGTTATAACTATTTGTAAGATGCAGCAGTAAGACCTTGCTTTCTGCTATGCAATTTGTTGGCTTAAAATTAAACTTGATGATTGGGAGTAACTAACATAGGGTAATTTGGGCTGGACAAAAAGTGAAAGGACAAGTGACATACTATTATGTTATAGAGCAAACAATATTATTTTATATTCCAAGCCATTAAAATCTATGAATGTCTGCTTTGACTTAGAGATCTTCCAAGGAATGCCAGAAAGTTCTCCTGATTTCTCTTAAGGTCTCTGTAAGGTAGGATCTATATTGTCTAACAGGTTTTGTGTATAGTTTATTGAAAGAATCAATTTGAACTTATAGAATTATTTGGGTTTGTTTTAATGTGTGACAGCTATGAAAACAACCTATTACTAGTTATCACATTTGAAAAGCGTGGATAGAGGTGATGAATCAGAAAAGAATTTAGTCTTACCTTACTATGCTACTAGGATAGTGATATACACAAAGTTTAATAGTCATTGGAAAGTAGATCTATGTCATGAGTGGTAAGTGATCAAAGTTTACCTAATCTACACACTTGGATATGTGTTTAACTTGTAACTGAGAAAGCAAATTATATGTTCAGGAGCACTGAGTTTTGAAATCTGCCCAGTGTCATACTATTTTTAGTGCAATGCTACTTATGCTACTTAGAAATGTCCAGGGTGGTAGCAACTGGAAAAGACCACCAGCCCTCTCTGTAACTACCTGTCAATGGTTTGAAGTGTTGGGTGTTGGACACCAATCCCCTAGCATTGTTTGAACTTGATAATGAAGTTGATGTGTGTTGGATGATGATGAAAATGCAAATACATCTATTTAGAGGGTTCTAGAACCAATCTTTTTTTTCTGATTTCTTAATCAAATAATTAATTGTTATTATTTTATTTTGATTACAAGTCAACCTTTGTAAGTCTAGCCTTCCTGAATAAAATGTTGTGCTTATTCAGAGAAAAAGATTATTTAGATGCACTGAGCAGCACAATGGAAAATGTAATCTAAAATCGTAGAGGCAGACCCAACCTCAGTGGTCCTTCAACCCTGCCTTCAATCCCATTGATCTCTGTACTCTTTCAGTAAACAAATCTGACTAGTGCAATTAGTAGATGCCATCTGTTTTGACATCATCTTTCTATTTTTAATATGTAATCCACCGTTTTTTAATGTCTTCTGCAGAAAATCTGTGAAGTTTGAACAAGCAGCCTTCCCAAGATGAACCGAATATCTCAACTGATGTCAACACCAGTAGCAAGTAAATGTAGAACTGCTCTACGCAATTATCTTTTGAACGATTAGACTTCTTTTAGCAATTTCCTTGCTTTGATTTTGCTGATACTCATACCATTAACCATCTGTCAGTAGCTCGTGCTTCTTAAATGCCAGTGTTCACTTTGGCAATGATTTTGACTTCATTTCTTTCCTTGAGAGAAATGTGGTATTTTTCCTTTTAGTAGGAAAAAAAAATCACCATTTTTTGATGCCTGTGCATAAATGTGAAAGGGGATTGTTTATCAGTTACTATTAAGATGCAAAACGGTTGGTCTGTAAAAAAATACCGAATGATTTTGATAGCTACTTGGAGAAAATGTGGGCGTTGTTCAAACGGTAGTGGTTTCAAATTTCTTCCTTCCTCTTGTTATTTTCTCCCCAAACCCTGCTTCTACCCTCCCTCACACTCCTACAATTTTCTCCTTGAAATCCACCAACCCAATCTGAAAGTCTCAACTCCTTTCTTTGTCTTAGATATTTATTGTCAGTAATGGAACCAAGTTTCACTGAACCTGTCTATTAGAAGTATTCACACCATTACTATGCAATATAAAATGCTGCTTTAAAATTTAGAATATTAATCAACTACGACTCTCCCCAGCTGAAATCTGTTGCCATGCCTTTGGTTAAATTGGAACATGAATGAATGCATGATCTATTTTTTAATTAAGAATACTCACAGGCATCATACATTGGAAAATCATTTATATAAAACAAAACTTTATTTTTTTCCACCACTCGTCTTCTGCTCATTATTTTGTAATAGAAGTGCCTTCAAATGCACTAATGAGAGAGAATCTAGGCAGATGATTGAATTCCTCAAATGACTGAGTAAGCTAAAATAACCAGAACATTGGGTAATTGATTCGGGTTTGGGACAGCTTCACCTAAGATGTTTTCTTCCTCCTTTTCATGAGTCAGTTTGATGCAAGTGGCATATCAGTGCCTCATCCGAAATAAGGAACCTCTCAAGGAGAGTTGAGTGAGAGAAGAGACAGGAGATAGAAGCCCCTAGATTATGTCTTGCTGCCTGTAGAGACCTGGTGACAAGTTGTGCTTGTCCTGATTCGTTGGATGGCTGCACCGTTTGGAATCTCTGCTGAGGCTGGAACATCAGCTGTTCACACCCTCCACTGTTTGCAATCATGCATGTTGATGCAGTGTGATAAATTTGTACTTCTCTCTCATTTACTTATGCAGATTCTTCCCGGTCTGAGAAAGAATACGCTGTAGGGCTGTCTCCCCCATGCATTTTCCCAAGGTATTCCATGGGGCTTTTCGCAAGAAAAATCAATCAAATTCTTTCTGTATGCATTATTTTGTTGTATTCTTGGCTTAAAAATATTGGAAAATCCCTGGCGGTCCAGTGGTTAGTACTCGGCTCTTTCACTGCTGTGGCCTGAGATTCAATCCCTGGTCAGGGAACTAAGATCCTGCAAGCCACGTAGTGTGGGGTATATATATTAGTTTTAGGTTTCATCCAGCTTTGGTATGGAGATATATTTCCAGTCCCATGCACATACAAATTGCAAACTTGCCTAACCTAATAATGGAGTTTGGGAGGGAGGGAGATGAGTGTGTGGGCAAACGTGAATGGTTGGTTTGTTTGGTGAGTGGAGAAACTACCGAATACCGATGCATGGTTACTTTTTCTCAAATTGATGTTCTCTTAAATATGCTTTTACTGTCTCACTTTACAAGAGCCACAAGGGTCTGTACCAGTGCACAAGCCAGCCAAATGTCATGCTCCACTAAAACTTGTAGAATCTACCATTTTGTTCAAGTTCTGCAGTGAAGTCTCTTTCCTTTTCATTCCTTACTTTTTTTTTCTTTCCTTTTTTTCTGTTTCTCTGTCTGTCTTTTATTCCTCACACAGGCATCAGCCAATGTTTCCTCTAGCATTTTGTGAAACATGCCAGTGGTATAAAGGGATCATGCTTTGATAGTAGAACCTGTCCCCTTTTGTAAATTCTAGGCCTCCTACTACTAGCAAATGCATCAGTCAAAGATGAACAGGCAGGTCACATGGAAAGAGCACATGCTTTAGAGTCAGAAAGACCAGAGTTCAAATCTTAACTCTGCCACTTACTAGCTGTATAAAATACCCAATTTAGTTGCCCTTCTGCATCTCATTTTTATTTTTCCTGCTGGACTATAAAGATAATAATACTTAGCTTTTAGGGAGGTTTGTGAAAAGCAGATAAAGTGTGAAGTATGGGCCAGGTTCGTAGTAAGTTTTCCATAAATAATATCCATTTAAAATAGTATTTTGCTAACTTTAGTGCATGTCATAGTTGTGAATAGGCTTTTTTCTTTGATGGCACCAGTTTATTTTTTAAATATTTTATTGAAGTATAGCTGATTTACAATGTTGTGTTAGTTTCAGGTGTACAGCAAAGTGACTCAGTTATATATATTCAGAATATATATATTCTTTTGCAGATTCTTTTCCCTTATAGGTTATTACAAAATATTGATATTGCTCCCTGTGTTATACAGTAGGTCCTTGTTGGTTATCTATTTTATATACAGTATGAATAAGCTTTAAACTTAAAAAAATTTTTCAGAATTTCAGTAAAGCATGAGGCATGAGGTTGTCTTTCAACCATACAGACATGTGATTGTTTTTCAAACCTAAGACATATACAGACTCACCCAACTAAGTAGAAGACTTCCCTGGATAGCAAATCAGGGAGGGTAACTATGAAATCATTTGTGTGGTTGACCTGAGGGAAATTGGCAAAAGCCAAAAAGATCTCTTTGACTGCATGTTCTCCTATAATTCATATATGTCTGGTGGTTGTGTAGTTATGATTTATCTATTAGAGTGACAAGAGTAAGGATATAGCATTCAGAGGGTTATTTGAAGTAAGGGTGGGCTGGAGCAGGCTCTGAGCTTCCAATATCCCAGGTAGGCTGTTTTGCAATTTCTTCCATCCAAGGGTGAGGGGTATCATATGGTGAAGAAATTGATTAGCCCTAGGTTTTCATCAAAGTGTTTAAAACAGAAAGAAACACTAAATGTGCTGTAGCTCAATTGTTTCGCAGGTAAAGAGATGAAAGTGAGAAGTTTAAGAGAGGCAGTCTCAGAGGTGCAGGAGTAGTTGGTAGCCAGGAATGCAAAGAGCTGGTTTTCCTTCACAGTGACTAGAAATGTGGTTTTTGTGCGCCTGGATGAACCGGATAGAGATTGAAAGGTCTTCTCTCATTCCCTCCTTGGTTTTGTCTGTGATTTCCTGGATGGTGGCAGTCCCTTTGAGTGCTGCCCCATAGATCCCCTGGCAGACTCCCACCTTACCTGTCGCCGAAGTCCCAGACTCCTCACCAATGGCTACTACATCTGGACCGAAGACAGTTTTCTCTGCGACAAAGATGGCAACACAACTCTGAGCCCCTCCCAGACCAGTGTCCTGTACAAGGAGAACTTAGTCAAGTAAGTAGAGGAGGTTAGGTAAAAGGATCTGAAGTCCAACCCAAACGTTAATTATTCATTCATTCATTTGTTCATTCAACATCGTTTATAAGGAGCCCATTACTGCTCTAGTTGGTGGAAACACACAGGCTCATAAGGGGCAGGGGTGGCCGACGTGAAAACAAAAGAAAGTAATGAAGCTGGGCTTCCCTGGTGGCGCAGTGGATAGGAATCTGCCTGCCAATGCAGGGGACACAGGTTTGATCCCTGGCCCAGGAAGATCCCACATGCCGCAGAGCAACAAAGCCCACGCGCCACAACTACTGAGCCTGAACTCTAGAGCCCGTGAGCCACAACTACTGAAGCCCATGCGCCTAGAGCCCGTGCTCCGCAGCAAGAGAAGCCACCGCATTGAGAAGCCCACGCACCACAACGAAGACCCAGTGCAGCCAAAAGAAAATTAAAAATAAATAAAAATTTAAAAATAAAATAAAATTAAAAAAAAGAAAGTAATGAAGCGATACAGGTGCTGGTAGAGAAGCCTGATAGAGGTTAGCAGAGGGGAGAAGGAAAGGAGGCGCATTTTATTTGGAGCAACAGGTTAATACAAGCTTCTTAGAGATGAGGATGATCGATTTGAGTCTTGAGAGGCGCAGGCTATTAGTTAAGATAGACGTAGGAAAGAGGACTTCCAGAAAGAGGTAACAGGCATGGAGTTCTAAGATACCCTGATACAAAGTGAGAGGAATGGCACATAGTTTGGGAGGGCTACCGCTTAGGGTGGAAAGGGCTGCTCTCCCAAGAGAGGAGACTAAGCCCAGAAGCAGGGCTGGATTGAAGAGGTTACTTTCCAGCCTAAGAAGGTTGGGCTTTATTCTGTAGATAAAAGAGGAGCTATTGACAAACTATCAGACTCATCCTTAGCAAGATAACACTGATTACAAGGTAGAAGATGGATTGTTGGGAGTGTGGATGTGTGGGGAATCAAAATCTTTTGGAAATGCAATTACCAAATCACGTCACCACCACCCCCTTCCCCTTGACATACTTCAGTGATCTCCCTGTGCTCTTATGTTAAATTCCAACTCCTTCATATAACAGTGAAGGTTATTCATTATCCGCCTTCTTTTTACCTTTCCTGACTCATTTCCTAGCATGACTCAATATGAGACTTCTTGTTCATATACCCCAGAAAGGCTGCCTTGACTCCAGATTAGCAATACCCCTCCTGGTACTCTCAAAGCAGCCTCGGTTAATGCGGTTAGAACACACATCCACAGAGCACAGTAATCAGGGGCAGAGAGGATGGAGCCAGACTGCCTGGGTTTGCACCCCTGTTATGTCACTTACTAGCTGTATGACTTCAGACAAGTCCTTTAACTCTTTGTGCCTCAGTTTCCTGATCTGAGAAATGAGGTAACAGTAGCACCTACCTCACAGGGCTGTTCTGAGGATAATGTGAATTACTATATGTAAATCACTAAGAAAGACACCAGGCACATGATGAGGTCAGTGAAAGCATTAGCCGTATCTGCATTATTTTTGCCTTTCTCCCATACTAGATTATGAACTTTTTTGACCCAAGGTTTTGTCTTTTATCTCAATATACTTGACATTGATCCAAGCACCTGGCACACACAGAAATTTAAGAAACTTCTCTGGAATTAATGGAGGAAACAAATGAAATGAGCTTCACGGACCTGGGTGGTAGAGATATGCCCTGTGCATCCATTTTCACTAAATTCTCCACTTTGACCCTGAGTTGACTCCTACTCATTATTCACTTGGTACTTTCATTTCTCTCCAGAATATTTAGAAAGAAAAAGAGAATCCGCCGTTCTTTTTCTTCTCTCTTCAACCTCAGTGCCTCTGAATCTTGGCTGCATGGAAGCATCTTTGGTAATGCTGACTCTTCCCCCAATGAGGACATCTGGTTGGAGGGGGTCAGGAGGCTGGAAACAAACCATTGCAATGAAAATGGTGAGTTTGAACCTCTTTTTCCATATGGTGAAATTTCCAAAAGGGAAGTAGCCGCCATGTGGTCCTGGACCAATGGTGAGGAGAGTATGGGGGCAACGCAGTGGAGGCCTGGGGTATTGAGGGCTCTTCGGGATGTCTTCCGGGAAGGGGAGGAGGGAGACCAGGTCCCTTACATACACGCATTGGACTCTGATCACACTGATCTGCGCTGTTTCCTGAACACCGTGCTCTTCCTCAGTTCTGCCGCTTGGCTCCTGTTGTTCATATGCTGGGATTCGCTCATTCATTCATTGGTTCACTTGGAAGATTTTACTGAGGGCCAACTAGGTATCAGGCATCATTCTACACACTGGGACGTATCGGTGAACAAAACAGACAAAACTATTTGTTTGCACGCAACTTGCATTCCTGACAAGGAATGCAATGACGTAAATTACGAAGCATGCTGGAAAGTGGTAAGCAGTGTGGGGCAGCAAAGGAGGAAGTGATGGGCATTTCAAGTTTCGGTGGGGTGACTGGCATGGCCTTCCTGAAAGTGACTTTTGAGCACTGACTTAAACGTGGGAGTGAAGCATCTGGGGAGAAACAATCGGGCAAAGGAAATGCAAGCTCAAAGGTTCTGGCCTAGGAGCCTGCGAGGGGCTGAGTGAGTGAGGGGAGAAGAGAGGTCAGGATCTCGGAGGTGTATGGGTGGAGCAGCTGCGGAAGGACGGTGAGACCTGTGAGACCATTTCAAAGGCTTTGCTCTCTGCTCCGAGTGAGAGGAGAAACTGCTGGAGGATTTTGAGCACAAAAATAACGTGATTCACCTTACATTTTGACAACATAGCTCGGGCTGCTGTGTTCAGGTTATTTGTGAGGTAGGTATAGAGGGCAGAAGCAAGGGAACCAGTGAAGAGGTGTTAGAGCGACTCAGGTGGGAGAGAATGGCAGCTTGAACTAAGATGATAGCAGGGTGGTGGTGAGACTGGGAAGGATTCTGGATACACTTCGACGGTAGAGCCAACAGGATTTTGCTGATGTGGGCTGAGAGAAAGAAAGAGAGCAGTCAAGGGTGCTTATTATATGCTAAGCACTTTACATTCTGTCTTGTTTATGTTATTTATGTATTATATTATTTATATATTACCTTGTTTATATACATTATCATGTTTAAACACCTCAAAGTCCCCTAGGAATTAGGTCATATTATCATATTTATTACCATTATGATAAAATTGAAGTTCAGGGTTAAGTAACTTGCCCATGTTCATTTAGTTTATAAACAGCAGAGTTGGAATTCAACCTAGGTATGTCTAGTTTGAAAGCCCAGCCTTTTCTTTGTTGCCAGTAAGGGTTTTCCTCTCCTTTCCAGCATATACCTCATAGCCCAGGCCCAAAGAGCAAAGCAAGAGGCCTCACATAACACAACCACATAAGGAATTTAAAGATATGGTCCTTACGTGTCCACTATTTTTCTCAACCTGCTTCCTGGGCAGACAGCTCAAATACTATATTATTTTTGTGAAAGCTTTTGGATTTGTAGTAATTATAGATTCATAAGAAGTTGAAAAATAAATAATACAGAAAGCACCTGTGTACCCTTCACCCAACTTCCCCTGCTGGTAAAACTTACTCAGTAGTACATTATCAAAACCAGGAAATTGACATTGATGCCAGACCGTGAAGATTTCACCAGTTTTTGTCTGTGAATGTGTGTGTGTGTGTTACACTAGAGTCAGTTAAAAAAATACAGTGCTTGTTAAGTGAAGAAACAATTCCTTATGTTAACAAACTGGTAATTAAACTGAGTGTATCCTAGTTCCCCACAATGACAAGGATGTATAAACAGGACAAAGATAAGAGAAAGAGGCAGGGATGTGGTGGGTGAGCCTGGAATGATAGACTGAAGATATCTGAAGAAACTTCTGCGCCGTGTTGAGGACTTTGGATTTTGTCTAACCAATCAAGGATATTTTAGAAGCCTATTTTATTTTATTATTTTTTATTGCAGTATAGTTGCTTTACAATATAGTGTTAGTTTCTGCTGTACAGCAAAGTGAATCATTTATATGTATATATCATATATACGTATACTTATATATCCCCTCTTTTTTAGATTTCCTTCCCATTTAGGTCACCACAGATCACTGAGTAGAGTTCACTGTAGGTTCTCCTTAGTTATCTATTTTATACATAGTAGTGTATATATGTCAATCCTAATCTTCCAGTTCATCCCACCCCCTTCCCCCCTTGATGTCCATAAGTTTGTTCTCTACACCTGTGTCTCTATTTCTGCTTTGCACATACACTCTTT